ATCTCTATAAATTTCCGAGTTGATTATTTTTTGAGATATATAATATTGTACGTGAAACGAGGAAATTCTTTAGTTCAATCATTAAATGTATATTGTCTCGTATTTCTCATACTTTTAAGCGGCATCATTTTCACCTGAAATTCTCATAGATTAAGCTACAGAGAAATTTCTAATGTTATATCTCATCAATTCCAGAAATACTTCTTGATTTCTATAATTTTCAAAAAATTGAAAAATGACGTACCTTTCTCTCAATCTTCTGTGATCTCAATCTTGGATCTCATTTTAATGTTTAATTCACAATTATTAATTATTATACACTTATACATATAAACCTATTAATAATGAAAATAAATAGCTATTTAAATAACGAAAATAAAAAATAAAGGGATTATTTAAAATAAAAAGAAACAAAGAGTTAAATTATTATTAATTTTATATTATAAATTGAATTGAATATAATTGAATATATATAATTGATTTTTTATATTAGCAATTAAAAACTTCTATAAGCTAAATTTCAATATTATAAACGACTATCAACTCTATTGTAATATTGTGTAATACTGGATAGATGATACTGGATAGATTTTTTATCTTGAAAAAAAATATCAATTGTAAATAAATATATCAATTGTGTGGCTTAATTAATTAAAAATAATAATTTTATTTCCAAAAAATCTGTTTATGAAAATAAAATTACTTTCAATTAATTAAAAAATTTGACTACATATTATATAAAATTGCATACAACATTATGAAACACGTTATACTTTTGTTATTTAATTTAATTGATCTATTATTTACATAAAATTCGTTACCTAATTTAAAAGTTGAATTAAATACTTTTATTAGCTATAAACAGAAATATAAAAAGAATAATACTTGTGTCAGTAGAAAAATCTATAAAAGAAAAGAAAAAAGATTTATTTATTGTAAAACAAAATTGAAAAATGTGTACAAGAGAAAACGTCACGAATCTTAACATGCTATATAAAATAATTTTAAATAAAATTTTCCCCTTAAAAATATCTTAATGGTTGATATATACACAAAACATACAGGTGAAGAACAAGTCAATACAGGAGAAAAAAAACGCAAATGCCATATGGCAACTTTCATATTCTCAGCTTCCTTGCTGCTATATTTTCCAAAAAAGATACATGACAAATCTCTTTTATCCCTCGATAACATATAATGGCTGATAAAATTATAAAAAATGTAAAATACATATCTCTTGGAATTTTATAGCGATACATTTTTCTTCGTATAGAAAAAGCGAATTGAGAGAGAAAGAGAGAGAAAATATCAGGGAATATCTTAATTTTTTTTAAAGCGCATATTATAAAGATTTATCGAAAGTTTTGTGTATCCCAATTTTTAATTTCAATTTTTATTCTAGTTTTTATCAAATCTTCAAAGTTTTCCTCGGTCTTTTTTATAGCCAAAGATATCTCTCTTTTACAATTTATATAAAATAAACTTTTCTACATCTGGTAGTAATTTTTCTAGATCTACTTTTTATACACAATCTTTGTTACCTTTTGAAAGATTGTCTTTTTAATATGAGAGAATGCGTTTTATCTTTTGGAAGATTGTTTTCTTTTTAATATGAGAGAATACGCTTTGAATACTCTTTAGTGCAGATGAAATAAATTTAGAATCTATATATATTGAGAGGATCCTAGTCAAGCATAGACGGTGTCAGGCCATAGGCGACCAGAGGAACTATAAGCAGAAGTTGTTCCTCTCTTACATCTGTTAAACTTTACAATCCAAAATCTGAAAACTACATCGTCTTTCTTTGAATTGTTAAATTTTTTTTAACAATTCAAAGAAAGACGATGTAAAACGAAATTCATTCTATTATATTTCTATTATATTAAAACTAATTCATTCTATTATATTAAAACTAACTCATCATTGGTAAACAAGTAGACAAAGACAATCTGTGTTGGAGACAATGAAAAAGTAATCAGCCACCCATTCAAAATATAGACATGTCAGGTATGAAAAATTTGTTTTCATATTCCAGATATCCTCCGAGAAATAACGTCAGAAAGGTAGCGCGGCTTTTCTTTTTTTCAGATAGATAACAAAAGATGGATGAATGAACAAACTGAATTTCTTAGCCTTTTACATGATTTCTAACAGTTTTTGAACACAATGACAAAGGCCCCCTTTCTTCTGCTCCTCGATTTTCTGCAGTATTTATAGTCATCCTCTCAATCTTGTGGTCCAGTCACGGGATTTGAAATTCAGATCGAGAATTAGCACAAATATCTTTTTAAATACTTATAATAATCGTATTATAAACGATTCTCAGCTATTCTTAAATATTATCTTATCCTGCAGAAAAGAGAAAATTTTCAGTCAAACATATTTGAGAGATCAGTCGATTAAGTATACATTTTAAGTATACGTTTAACAAAATGTAGCTCTATTGTTACCGTAAAAATATCCAAATAATAAAGAATATGAAAAATGAAATAGATTAGTTTAATAATTTGAATAATAACGCGTATAATTTGAATGCAGAAAATACCAAGGCTACTACATTTAAAAAATTCCATTTATTTATTATTAATACTGTTAATTTTTTTATTATTTTTACCTTCAATTATTTCTAAATACATTTTATTCGATAAGATATGCGTTTGCTGTAAACAAGACTAGACACTTATTTTTCTCTCTGCGTCTATCGAGCCGCGCGCTTGACAAGTGACACGTGCCATCTTGCAATTTTATCGGAATCGTAAATAGCGCATCGGTTAACTATTGTCTCTATTACGTCTTGGCGAAACTCGCAAGTTCGAATGTATATTATCTATGAAACTTTAACGCTCGCGGTCATCCATCCAATGACGCTGACCTTGCGTCTTATCACGTAGAAACTGCCACGAACGTCTTGACGATTTGAATAACGTTTGACGTGTCATCGAGATCTCTTCCAGTCGTGTATTAGTAATAAAAAAAAGCTTTCCGTTCCTTCGATTATTTCTTCTGTCTGGTATTTCTGGCAATTCCACCGCGCAATATTGCACAATATTGCTCCGAAGCAATTTCATTAATTCCTCGATAGCAGCAAAGGGAGAGAAGATAACGGCGAAGGGAGGGATGAGAAGGTAACCTGATTTTTAGAGATAGCAAAACTAAATCAGGTGAGAGATCGATGAATCGGTGTCGCGGACTCGCCCATCGTTTCCAGAAGGGAAGCATCGCACGTCGTCATCAGACACGGAGCACGTTGATGGTAAAGAGACGATCCATCGAGGGGGGTGGTCGTGTGTTGGTGTGGGTGACAGATGCGTTAGGCGCCGACTCGGCTCCAACCGTCATTCGTGTAGTGGTAGTACGTCGGCGCCTCTCTGCGAGAGAGAAAGAGAGAAAGAGAAGGAGAGAGAGACAGGTAAGCATCGCAGCAAAAGAGGACGAGTAGGGGAAGAGGAGTCAGAAGATTCTTCGTTTGCGAGCGAAGAGAAGCGGCGGGGCAAGAAGGGCGAAGGTTTGCTCCGGTGGAAAACGTACTTGCACATGGGCGTCTGCAAGAGGGGACAGTCGGTTATTCTTTACGGTCCGTAGCACATTTTTTGGAAGGGGAAGTAGGGGAAAAGATTACCATATTTTAAAAATCGCCTTAAGGACTTTGTGGCTCGACGGTTAGCCTTTCAAAGATGCTGCACGTTTCCAATAGTTGACGATAAAGAAATCGAATGTAATTGTGTGAAAGATGACTATTAACTCTTCAATCAACTGTCACAAAACGTCATTAACAGAGGAAAAAATTTATTTTTATATTTTTATATTTATTTTTTATATTTTTTAATTTATGAACCCCGCACATGATGTGAAAATTTTTATTCCTAGTGTTCTTCTAGAATGGTCGTATTTGAAACACTACGTTTTTCAATTGGCTTCTCTGAATCGAATTACGATATTTCTATGTGTACATTACAGAATCATAAGCAAATAAAAACGAAAACTTTCTCCGATACAAGATATTTCTTTGAATATATGTATGCACGCATATATAATGCGTAAAAGAATGCGCGATAAAATCACATATCTGAGATATTTCCTCTAGCTCATTAGAAACGTAGAAAAAGAAAGAGAATATAAATATTTTCCATAAGTGGTAGATATTTTCTTTCTTCTGCCTCGAGATAGAAAGATAACATTCCAAAGTATTGTGATGACGTAACTCTTGTGCCAATTAGTAATTAATATTTGCACGCTATAAAGCAGGGAATGTAAAACATTTGGACGCAAACCTCATGAACCTCGACGACATATTATGTTGAAAATTATTCAACGAAACACTGAAAGAAATCTTATTGAAACAATTGTAAAAAATAAATACATTCGAGTATTTGATCATTTTTTAAATGCGAAATTAATTGTGAATGTGGAATTCACGATATCTTTATTTTAAAATGTCTATTATTAAATTTATTGTGCATCAAGACATAAAATTTTAGCGTAAATATGGTGTCATATTCCAATAAGAACAATTTATCACTCGTAAAATTCATATTTGATGCAATCATTTTTCGCAATAATATCATCTTTAAATATCAACTCATAAAATTAATACGCGCTGCCTAATTCGCCATCTCATTACACTAATTTAATATATTACATCAAGTCTTTATACCCTTTTACACGCAACAGAATTAAAAAATGTACTCTACACATTGAAATAATCCAGTGTAACTATTAATATTCTCGCTCTACGAAGAATAAGAAAAAAAATATGATGGAAGAAAAAGCAAGCTCCACAATGTAAGGTCAAGGGCGCAAATATTTCTCGAGGGAAAGTAAAAAGAAGAATCTGCCGCGTCGGAGAGAACATTTCCATTCGGGCGCCCATGTATCCACGTAGATGTGTCGGACGAGCGTCGGGCGGTTCACGGTGCGCGCGCGCGGGGGTGAGAGCGGACGAAAGAGAGGCGAGAGTGGTGGGGGGATGATCGGCGGGCTCGCCCGCCGGCAGAGGAGAGCGCGCGGGTGAGAGAGACGGCGCGCGCGCGCGCGCGGGCGCGCGGGGTCGGACGGCGGACCAATCGGAGGAAGGGATGATGAGGTAGCGGCGCACACAGGCTGAGAGAAACTGTCAAGAGAGGCATTACTGCGCGGCGAGTCGGCCCGTCGTGACCCGTTCTCCCATGGATCTCGGGGGTCCTCTCTTCTCGCCGTACCTCTCTTCCCCACCACGCGCGCTCGACGGAGAGAATCGCATCCCCCGCCCACCCTCCTCCACCACTCCGCTCCTACTCTACGAGCGTCGCCGTGTGGTCGCCCCCGCCACGCTTCACCCATCCCTCGAGAGGAGTCGGGGTCCCTCTCGTTTCGGGATCACCGCTCAGACGCTCCGAGGACCACGAAGCGGACGCCACGACTCGTTACCCGCGCTTCTCAGTGTGCTGCAGTACGCCGAGCGGTGACGACGACGACGACGGGATCGAGAAGTCTAAGTCTGCATCCGCAACTCGCGAGGAGATTCGATTCATGTAACATCCCGTTAAAGTGCGAGGAGCACGGGAAGAGTGAGATCGCTGTGATAGCTGGTAGGAGATGCGCCTTTATGGGCGTCTCGTTGGATTTTCTCTGTCGGAGCACGAGTAGTGGTTCGCATTCTCCGAAGGTGCATCTCTGGATCAATCGAGTTCCCGGACTCGGGGGTGGGGGGGAATAACGTCCAAGTGTACGCGATAGAGCGGTGTGTGTCGGGTCTGACGTACTCTCGTACTTCTTCTTCATAGACGGGTGTTTAAAGTGTAAATCAGTTCACTCGTTGGATGCTGGAGTTCGGAGTTCCCATCTCGACGGTGCGATACCTAGGCTAGGAGCAAACTCCACCCGCATCATGGAATATTCGAAGAAAGGTACGTCTGTTTAGAAATCAAGTTCCACGAAAAGCTGATACTCTGGCTGATCAACCTCGATCTCCGTTGACTAATATTTACTACGGTTTTTACGCACTGTGTCGTCCCGCCAAATAATTTTTTTTTTCCCCGTAAAGAAATCTCGCGATTTTGTTGCGAGAATAGATAAATTCCTTCTTTCGCGAATGCCAGTTCTCCTCGATACTCCGTTATTTTTTTGGGGGGGGGAATTTATTTCGTTCAACGTAGAGGTACATTTTTTACACACACGTGTTTGTTTCGTATGCTATCTCGTCACGTGAAATTTTACAACATTTAAACATACAAGTCGCGCGTGCGGGCGACTCACCTGTTCGCGTCATGGTCACGTTAGAAAGAGCGAGCTCCAAGTTGAGAGATTCCGCGAACGAAGCTCACGAGATAACGAGATTACATCAATTGTATTGATGACGCAATTCGAGGTATCGCGAGTTCGATCATCAAATTTATAGTCAATCGTCGCGGCCAATTTTTTTCATCTAATTCACCTTCAGGCTGTTAGATTTTAAGCGATGGTCCGATGTAACGTTACACATTACTACACTTTTACATTATGCTACATTTCGACAAATTGATGATTAATGAATTGTTCTCTTTTTCCGAAAATAAAAAAAATTTATTGCAGAAATGATATTAAAATTGTCAGTGTTAAATATTTATATAGGAAATATTTTGTTACGAAATGTTGCTCGTAAAGATTGTTTCTCCATGAAAATCAAATCGATATCGAACCATCTCCTTTTTCTCGGAATAATTTCTCGTCATGAGTAATGTGTCTCATCGATGTTCTTGACGATAATGCCAGAAGGGGGTAATTCATAAATGTCAGAGGGTGCGACGGATCTACACGTCGCGATTTGATGACGCGTCGAAATTTTAATCTCGCTGCTATAACGATATATTTTTGAAGGAGAAATGGTAGCTCGAATTTAAACAGATAAGGACCTTTATCATCGAAATGCTTTTGTGAAAGTCCGAGTGATATCTTTGCTTCCTAAATACGGTCAAAGGCAAATACTTTTCATATTTAGTACGCGATTTTGTAGAGATGATATGAAAAATATTTACGGTGTAACTTTGAACACGCGATGTAACGGACTTCGGTCTTGAAAAAGTATATTTAATTCTACTACAGTAAAGAAGCTGCAACGCAAAGGAGAAAGAGATTAAGAATTCAAAGATAAAAGATATTATATCTGTGAAAAAATATTTGATTTTAGAGTTGCCTTCATACAATTTCCTTCTTTCTTATATATATATTATAACTGTTACCCTAATAATATTTATTTGATTTAAAATAGTCATAATAAAAACAGATAGAAAAAAATCTTTGTTTTTAATCTCGAATGATTAAGATGTTATCATGACATGGATAATATCGAATATTTGAAATTTCACATATATTGCGCTCTCTAAAATTTAACACTTTATAAAATACTCAATAATTGTTTTTTTTTTCAATGATATTATAAAGATGAAGAATGCAACTTTGATTGTAATGACGTCTCGAGACAATCTATTTTAAAAGCAATATAGAAGATTAATAATACCATCGAGAGCTAATAGCTCTCAAGCCATTGGAATTTGTTTGATAAATATATTAAGATCTTTCTTAATGTATATATTAGGAATTCTTTGTATTTGATCTTTATCAAATATTTTATATATGTGTATTGAGTGTGTTTAGCAAAATGCACTATGTATCGAATTTAATTAATACACTATAGTATATTAATACACTATAATTAAACTATATTATAGTGTGTGCACGCGAATATGTGAATGTTATTCGAAAAAAAATTTCTTTCTTCTTGATAGAGAAAGCACAAAGATGATTATACGAGCGGCTCCACGAAGCCTGAATCAGGGTGTGGTACAGAAAGTCAACCGCTCCCTTTTTCACCCCAGTAAAGGGGCGTCCTTCGGTAACGAGATAGATTAATTAGCGATGTTTATATTGACAAGAAAGTGCACGCGTTATTATAACTCTCGGATAACTTCTCGCAAAAATTGCAGTGTGAATACCCCGAAGATGTTATCACCTGCATAAATTAATCATCGAAATAAATTATTTCGAATGCATATTTTTCTCAAATAATTTATCGATAAAAAATATAATTATTTTCGTTATATTAATAAGAGAATTTTAAAGTGATTAAAACAGAGATTCTTTCATATATTTGCGTTTAATCTTTTTATCGAGAAAATCATGTATTTTTATATTTGATTCTCAATAAATTATATCGTTACATGTATTTGTTTAAAAGATTTTTAAATATTTTGTATTTAAGTGTCTCTTTTTTAATATTGGAAAATAATTATTCTAATTTACGCGGCGCTCATAGCTCAGACAAAATTCTTGATCAGGATATTTGTAAAAAAAATGCACGTATTTCGAAACGAGAGATGTCTCAATCAAACTTGGCTCTCAAATATTCAATTTCGCATACGGAATGATATTCAATGAACATAAAATGAAAAAGGAAATGGTGGGTGAATGTGGTGAGTGATTATCGGTCTTACTTTCAAAAATAGTTATTTATTTTTCTCGGAAATTTGTAAAGATTATACTACGAGAAGATTATATTTACGTTTAAGGAGACTATACTTTATCATATTTATCGAAGATAAAAGTCTGAATTTTGAAAAAGATTCACGATGCTTTATTCTCTTTATTCTTAAGAAACACTCGAAACCGAGAGATAAATCGATCAAAATTGATTTGATGATTTTATGAAATTCAGATCTAAGAATAAAACTAATTATTTTTATAGATATTTAGTATAAAACATTGATTTATCATCGAATATCATTGCTGCAAGAATTAATGAAACGACGGTTTAAATAACATTCGCTGTCTTAATGATAGAGCGGTCCATTTTTTTCAGATCACGATATCAGAACATTTTTATGAAACCAAAAAATAATGTTTTATCGAAAAATTCACTGCAGATGATACACGATCTCTATTCGTGATTAAAAATCAAACGTCCAACGATCGCACTTATCGTAGTTTTTCCGTCCTTCTCCCATCCCCCCGTCTCCTCCCGAGGCGTCGTAAGGTCGGTCTAGGATTTGTATAGACATTATTACGGCGACAATCTATAGATGCGGTCGTAGGTAGGTAAGTCGGTATGACAACGGCGTCTAGGTACATGCGGAAACACTCGGTTGGGCCACGTATACGATTGGTACTTTGCGGGACATCCTCCACGGGGCACCTCGCGAACTCTATATTCGCCCTCTCACGGTCGTGAAATTAATGAGCCGCGACGGACAATTCCTTTCTACATCGCGCGTCTTGATAAACCGTCGAGTCGCATCCCTTGGGAACGCCTCCGCTGACCGGATATAAGAATGCCGATTTTCTTTTTCGTTTAATATAAAATATTTCTTGGTTCTTTTTCCTATCTTTATTTTAGTACTCTGATGTGTAGAGATACAGATAGAAAATGTCAATAAATATAGAGAATGTCAATATACAAATATAAATATAATTTGAGAACGAAGTTCGAATCGCATTTTAATTACCGAACCACTGGTAAAAATTTTTTCGGCAATGTTTGAGATTAGAATGAGTTAAGTTATGGAAGCTGCGCAATTCATGAATTTCAAAATAAAAACGTGAAAGTAGTCCCGAGGATAGAAACCTTGCTAAAAATATCTCTGGTAATAAATCAAAAAATAAATTGGAAAAAATCTTGCTTAAAATAAGAAAAAGATATCAATTCTTGCCATCTCAATTCTTTTCACTCTTGTGAGTATGCGATAAGATCTCGAATTTAGAACAAAAAGCAATACAGTGAGCAAGTAATTTTGTTTGAAGTATTTTATTATGTTACAATATTAAAGAACTTATATATTTTACTAAAATTAAATATGAAATTAAATATGATATTAAATTATATATGACTTTATGCTAAAAATTCAATTATATTTTTAACAGTTTATTTACGCATTTAATCTATCGTGGAAAATAAATTTGAAAAAGAATTAAATAATTATTGATTTACAGTGCGAAATAATGTTAAAACTGTTAATGATCACTAACAAAATTACTGTCAAAATAGAATAATTACTTTAGTTTGACATCAACTTAATTCGACTAAACTGAATTTTTTATATTTTATATAAAAGAAATCGTGACCCAAATTTCACAGAACATAAAGAATTTAAATAGAATGTTACAGATTATGGAAGTACTAGCTTTCGAAACAAATGTTTCATCTCAAACCGATTCTTCCATTCTTCCTTCCATTCTTCACGAGGACGGAAATTTTTTAATTGAGTTTGAGTCAATGTTAAAAAATTATCTGTCCTAGTTGTTTTATCTTTTTTCTTTTCTTTTTAAAGAAAAAAATGCGTGTTCGGATCGATTGCACGTTTCGTTACAATCAATAAACAAAAAAGAAGATTAGAGGGGAGGATAGAGAGGGAGAGAGTATTCATGCGCAAATTAAAATAGTCATCCACGGATATACGAAGGGTTGCTCCGGTGCGTTACGGATAGGTAAATCCAAGGTTGTCAGAGAGACGACTCTCGAAACATACTAACCGCCATCTTTATTTCTCCTGCGTGGTGCGTGGGTGTATCCGAGCGTGGAAGAAGCGGGGATGATGAGGGAGAACTGGACGGAAGGAGGGGAGGTTGAGACGAAGAGAGGAAGGCGTCAACGTCGAAAGGGAAAGAGAGAAGGACAGCGAGGGAGGAAAAGGGGACCGGGTATGAGATAGCAGGGTTACGAAAATGGGGTGGGAAGAGGAGAGGAGGGAAAGGGAAGGGAAAGGAAAGCAAGAGAGAGAGAAAGAGAGAGAGAGACCAAGAGAAGGAAGGAAAAGGACGAGACGCGAGCGTGAGTCTGCGGCTACGGGCAGGAAGGAAGACGAAGAGGAGAAAAAACGCGTAGCGTGATCGTCGGCGGTAGCGGCGAACGGATGTCGGTGAGAGAGAAGGAAAAAAG